TATACAAAACTGAACAAATGAAAAATATTTTTATTGTTCACGAAAATTGAGACATAAATTATAGTTGATAGTGAAAATATTTCTTGTTACTAATTATTTCAACTGATAAAAGCAGTTGTTTTAGGAAAAAAAATTTCAAATTGTCCATTTTTCGCTAAACGAATGAAACCTAATTTCCAAAGAAACTCTCCACATGTTAAATGTTATGTTGCTAGGTCATTTCAATATAGTAGGGGTAAGTGACTGGGCCGGTTCAAACTGGAAACCAAGAACTAAACTGAACCAACTTTACCCGATTGTATCAAGGGCCGGTTCACTCAGAGACTGGTTTGGTTCTCAAGTAGAACCGGTTTTGAACCAGTTCAAAATCAAATTCTAAGTTGTTTTTTAAACACTATCTCATTCCTCACTTTCTGTTTCGTCTTCTGTTTATTTGTTTTATGGGAAATTTCAGTAAAAGAACAAATATGTTTGACTCACAAAAAAATGAAACGGAAAAAAAGGAGCCTATTCTAGACCTTGGAATCGCCGGTTCAATTTCAGATCGGTTCTAGAGAGACAGGTTCGGTTCTCGCTTCCAAAACCTGGAAACAAACTTTGACAATGTAGATTTTAAATTCTTGATCTGAAATCTACTTATCTTGGAACTTGATTACCCATTCAATATGAGACATATTAATGTGATGCCCAGTTTTGTTCTTATTCTTGACTGTCGGCACTTGCACTTAATAGACACAATACAGATATTAATGCGCCTATAAGTTCAACATGAATATGACAATCACAAGCATCCAAGTCTGGGCATGAACAAACGTAGTAATTATTATTTTTTAATAATGATGATCACATACCGGTCCAAAGATCTATTTTTTTTTAACGATTTGAAATGACACGAGTCTAATTATCCCATTAATTTTTCCCTAAAAAGAGCCCAATCTACATCTTCCATTAGATAGGGTTAAACGACATGATCATACCGGTTCATTTATAGATTATTTATAGCTATTATTTTATCCAAGATACAAAAAATAAATTTTTGGACTCATCATCAACTACAATTAATTTGAAAGAGTAATTGTTTTTCTCATTCGACGGCATAATTGTATGATTATTCAAGATGTTCTCTCTTCCTTCAAGTAGATCTTTTTCTCTATCAAGAAAAAAATTCAGTTATTTCTCTGAAAACACAAAACTAAAAATATTCGAACAATCTCAAATTAGGACGCTTCCACTCACTCCGTTTTCAATAAGGAACAATTAATCACATTTATATATAGTATATAGTTTAATATTGTATGTCTTAATGAGCGTCATTAACAATTTGGGGTAATGGGATCGCATATGCAAGAAGATTTAATAAGCACGGTTTGTAATCTTATTAAAAACTAGACTGGCATGTAACAAAATCTTTAAAGATATAAAGTACCCACAATACGCTTTCGGAAACCCCATTGTATAGACATTTTTTTCATCGCCAGTTCCTTTCTTTATCCAAGAAACGAAACAGAATTAGGAAATATAGAATATGGTCATTGGGGAAAATTGTCTAAAAAGTCCTAAACTTATTACACTTTTACCAATTCAGTCATAAACCTTTCAATTTTGCTAATTGAGTCCTAAACCTTTTCATTTCTTGCCAATTGAGTTCTAAACCTTTTTATTTCTTGTCAATTGAGTCTATCCGGCCAAATTTGGCTCGAAATCGCTGACGTGGACATCAAACGACCATGTGACGCTAACATGGATATTTTAAAATAATATTTTAATCATTTATGATTTTTTTACATTTTTTTCTTCTTTTTTTTTCATTTTCTCTCTTTTTTTTTTCTGGTTCTGAAATTGGGGCCGGCGAGGGTGGTCGGCCAACCCTTGCCGGCCACGGGCGAGGGCCGGCCAACCCTCGCCGGCTCTGGGGGAGGGCGTCGCGACCCTCACCCAGATCCGGCAAGGGTCGTGATGCCCTCGCTAGGCGAGGGAGTGGGGTCGACGAGGGCGTGGGGCCGGCGAGGGCCGCCAAGCCCTCGCCTGGCCAGATCTAGCGAGGGCATTGCAACCCTCGCCGGATCTGGGCAAGGGCGGGCTGCAACACCCTCGCCCAGAGCCGGCTAGGGTCGGCCGGCCTCACCCGTGGCCGGCGAGGGTCAGTCGGCCACCCTCGCCAGCCCTAATTTCAAAACCTAGAAAAAAAAAGAGAGAAAAGGAACAAAGAAGAAGAAAGAAACATAAAAAAAAATCATAAATTATTAAAATATTATTTTAAAATATCCACGTCAGCACCACGTGGCCGTCCGACATCCACGTCAGGGATTTCCGGCCAAAATTGGCCGGATGGGCTCAATTGGCAAGAAATAAAAAGGTTTAGGACTTAATTGGCAAAGTTGAAAGTTTATGACTGAATTGGCAAAAGTGCAATAAATTTAGGACTTTTTGAACAATTTTCCCATGGTCATCGAGGACGAAAATCCTAGCGCAGTCAGACCGAATATTCCACTCTCTTGCTCATGAATAAACTTATGGTGTTTAATGGATAAAACTTCTCCTCCTAGCAATTCTCAACTCCATCATATCTTGATCAACGATTTCAATTTTTAAAATAAGCTTTCACCAACCAAAATTGAAATCGACAAGTCTCCCAAAGAATCAGCATTCGTCATGCCAATCCCATTCGCACCCCAACAGCCAATCGCTCGCGTCAAACTCAGTTATAATATCTATCTTTCAAGTCGTTGTTTTCTCATCTGTGAAAGCAATATTTCTGTTCAAAACACACAGGAACACACGCGCACTCTCTCCCAAAATAGAAGTTAACCAATGAAAATCTGACACTTTGAAACCCTAAACACTAATATAATAGGAACACGTAAAAACTTATTTTATTTCGGGGGGTTCTTTGATAAAATATGGATGCTGCAGAAATTTTCTGGCTCTGATGCTGTCCAGGACACAGGAACACACGCGCACTCTCTCCCAAAATAGAAGTTAACCAATGAAAATCTGACACTTTGAAACCCTAAACACTAATATAATAGGAACACGTAACTTTTTATTTCGGGGGGTTCTTTGATAAAATATGGATGCTGCAGAAATTTTCTGGCTCTGATGCTGTCCAGGTAAGACAGTGCCACGAGCTCGACGTTATTCGGTCCCCTACTCGGACAAAGCTTTTGTCTGCATATGGACACGTGCCGGATCGTCATTAAGGGTGGAAGCCGTGTGCCAACACGTGGCCCCGCGATTTTCACGAGGTTATGGTCAATTGATTTACGCTCGATATGGGGCCTCGGTCCATATCTACCTTAAGAAAACCTAAACAATGCCACGTAAAGAGTCAAAACATGCGGGTAAGATTTGAGTTATTTGAATATTATTTTGTAATCAGAGTTAATTTATTGTTACTTCTCTGTGTATTAGACGTGCACTCAAACAGTAGATTCGTGTGAAAATAAGAGAGAGAGATTGTTGACTGGTAATTTGCCTGTTCTTAGTTTTATAGAATTCAATTTAATCTTTAATTACAAAATCTTCATTACAAAATGATAAGATGGAGCAATTGAGCCGATTCAAGCCGTGAACCGACCTTACACGATTGTATCAAGGGCTGGTTCACAAGGAGACCAGTTTGGTTTTCGTGTAGAGCTGGTTTTGAACCAATTCAAAACCAAATTCTAAGCCGTTTTTTTAAACACTTTCTCATTTCTCACTTTTTGTTCGGTCTTTTATTTATTTTTTTTATGGGAAGTTTCAGTAAAAATAAATATGTTTGATTCACAAAAAAGAAATTGTAACAAAAAAAGGAGTCGGTACTAGACCTTGGAACTGGCCGATTTAGTTCCACATCGATTCTAAAGAGACAGATTCAGTTCTCAGTTCCTAAACTTGGAAACAGACTCTTGACAGTGCAAGTTTTAAATTTTTGATCTGAAATCTACCCACCCTGAAACTTGATTACTCATACAATACTTAAAATATAATTGTGATGCCCAATTTTATTTTTATTCAAGACTGTCGACACATACACTTAACAGACACAATACAAATATAAATGCGCCTAATATAAGTTCAACATGAATATGACAATCACAAGCATCCAAATCCGGGCATGAACAAACGTAGTAAAGCACAAGGCAATGATAACTGGAAGCGTCCAAGCATCTTGTCCCCTCTTGAAAATTACTTTCCTCTCTATACTCATCAACAATCTCATGAGAACGAATGCTTCTAGTAACTATGATTTTTTTTTTAAATTTGATGATAATACACCGCTATTCCTTCAACAATGTGAAATGACACGTGCCACATCATCCCATTATTTTTTTGCCCTAAAAAGAGCCCAATCTACATCTTCCATTAGAATATATTAAAAGACATAATCAATCCGGTTCATTTCTATATTATTTATATCTTTGAGTACCGTCAACTTTGCTTAAATGATTGGAGCAATCTTCCAAACCAGAGACAGGTAGCAACCCGGAAGCATCCATCATTTCTTTTATTTGCAGTAAACCCTCAATATTAAATTCCCGTGATTATTCAACCAATATTTCACATAACATAATAGTCGTATATTTAATTAATAATTCTTTAAGACAATGACCTTTTTGTAATCACCAAGACGGTATGCAAGACGGATTACAATATTTAATGTACAAAATGACGTGATAAATTTTATAAATTGGATGTTAAACGATATTTATTGATTTAAAGGACCACTCAGAATCTATCATATCACTTAATATACTAATTTTGTATTATTCCACTATTGTTTACATACATAAATTAATGACTTGCAACTAAAACTAATCCCCCATGACCTGCAATACCCTTTGTTTTTCCTCTCTCCAAAGGCCTGCAATAGCTTCGACCGTACTGTTTATACAATTATATGACCTACAATAAAGAAAGTCCCTCCCCCAGATAACAGCTGCTCAGGTATGGTTTTCGGACGATACACATGAAACCCACCATTAATGAATGCAACAAGCTAGCTGTCTGTACATGAATTTTAAGGAAGAAGAATGAATTGCACAAGAACCCACATTTACAACTTTTCCGATTTTGAATCCAAAGTTCTCCATTCCGTTACACTGAATGAAATCCTGGAAAGAAATTGAGAAGACATCAAGAAAATGGAGATGAAAAAAAACAGAAAGAGGACATTTTCATTTTCTTGACATTTTCCTTCCCTCTTTTTTGGGCCATTTTTTGTGCGCGCGCGCTAGGTAACAATAATGAAGTCTCCAAGAGAGATCTTCTCAAGACTCCAAAAAGCCAGTCATTCTAAGGATGGAATTCCGCACTTCACTCAAATGTCTACCCTTAAGCGTCCTCCCATGGCTGGAGCACACCAAGGACGCCATCCTTGCGGCCACACGCTGCCTGACGATCAAGTGCGGCGGCACAACCTCCCCTTCATCATCCCCCTCCTTAAACTCGTAGTCGGATTCGGGAGACCGGATGAAAGTTTCTGGGATATCGACCGGAGGTGAGTTTGTCATTCTCTTCTCCCTCTCCTTCTTCTTTTGCGATTTGCCGTGCGCCCACGAATCGTCGAGAATTGGCACCACCATCATATTGCGGAAACCACAGTAGCCGTGCTTGTCCTCGTCGCTGCTCCGATCGGTTTTCGCCTGATTTTGATCGGTGAAAACTATGTCGGATTCTTGAAATTCGAAATCCATGAAGATGGAGGAGCGAGAGATGGGAAGGGTGACGATATGGTGAGGTATGAAGGTGGGGATTTGAGTGGATGTGTTCATTAGTGGTGAAGGGTGGGAATGGGAGGGATTTATAGGTGGTGGTGATGGTGGTGGTGGTGGTGGTGGTGATGGAGGCTAGAGAGAGAGAGAGAGAGAGAGGGAGAGGTGAAGGAATTTGGAGAATCTGAACCGTAGTGAGCACACTTTGTGATTGTTAATGTTGTTTTTGTCATAGTATGCAATAATTGGGAAGAGGAGGGGGGATTGAGTGTGGTCCCATACACCTTCTTCCGTTTCTTGATTTCTCTCTCTACGAGTTCTTGAGTGCGGGGTTTTCTTTTCTTTGCCTTCCTTTTCTCTCTCTAAAGTCGGCCTGCCTAAACAAAACAGCTCCCCCTTTCTTACGGCTCACGGCTTGTTTCGGTTTTATCGCTTGTTTTGTTATTCAATTGACCTGGCAAAAGTTACATTTCTATACGATACAAAGTTTGTGTACTTATATTTGTACATACCCTATCCTCATCACCATTGATCGGGTAATTACGATTTGAAAATTTGTCCAACTATCCAAATCAATGGTGGTAGATGTGGGATGTATATACATAAAAGAGTATGTGGTTGTATATTTAATATTTTTTCCAGTAACAATTTGGAGGAATAAGTGCAAAGTCCTAAAAGTTGTCACGAAAGTGTAATTGAGTCCTAAAATTTTCAAAATGTGCACTTAAATCTTAAAACTTATCAAATTGGTCAAAATCAAGTCATTTAATTAAATGCACTTTTAGAAATATTTAGGACTCAATTGCACTTTTGTGACAAGTTTTAGGTCTTAGTTGCACATCTTGAAAGTTTTAGGACTAGTTGCACTTGCATGACAAGTTTTAGAACTTGATTGCAGTTTTTAAAAGTTTCAGGACTTAATTGCACTTTCGTAAAATTTTTTAGGATTTCTAGTTTAGTTATCCCAAATTTGGATGTGGCTCTAGCGGCTTCCTATGCTTCATGGTAATGAATTGTAAAATATGAAATGCATCGCATGGTATAAATGCTAACAAATTCATTAGCTGTCATTATCACGTGTTTATGCATTGGACAAAGAAGATGTTATTACATTCAGGATGTACCATATCTTGGAGTTGTTTCATGGATGTACAAGCGCTCTAATAGTTATTAGATACATCATGAAAATATGGTGCAGAGTACGGATTCGTCGTCTGTCTCTGAACTTACGGTAAATGAGTTGCCGGTTTTTTATTTTTCAGAAGCAAAAAGTACTTTATCGGTTTTGTCTTGAAAAATGTGATATCGTTCATTTTATAATGTTAGAGAAAAAATTACTATGAAAATTTATGTATCAACATTTGTATAGTGTAAAAGTTTCAGGTCTTATCGGTTCAAAAAGGTCAAATTGAGTGAGCCGCAAAATTCTTATAAAAAGGTAAAAAATAAAAGTCATTCCAAACACACACATGACCAAATTTAAAAATGAAATTGTCATGATTTTCCATCAAATGCTAATTGAGAAAAATTTCCATATTAGATTATATTCATATGAGTCGTATAAGTTTGTCAAAAATTGTTAGCATATCGCGATGTGCCTCTGTATACACTTCTTATTATCTCATAATTAACATGAAATCGAGAGCGTAAGAAAAATTACATCTACGTTGCAGATTTCGATTTGATTACCACCGCCCGCAGCGGCTATTTGATTACTATTAAACACTTAATTATACAAGAAAAATTGTCATATTATATCTCACGGTCAGCACTTGACTAATAGTATATTTAAGATATTAAGTTGAAAACTGAAGTAATTTCACAAATAAAGGTAATACAATGATTCATATATGAATAAACCGTTATATTAAAAAAACCTTTTTTGTTAATGTTAAATTATAAAATGGAAGCTACGTGTTCTATTTGTACAAGTAAGAGAACTTCAGTAACAAAAAAAGGCAATTAAATGGAATTTTATACGTATAATTTGAAATGACCAGGGCCATTTGGTTTACATGTTTACTTGTAAATGAAGATCTCTTGATTTAATAATTGAATACTCCCTTCCCTTTACATATGCTATGCTACAGCCTAGAGCATAGTATACGACATTGGAATTAAAAAATTTATTATAGATGAAGAGATATGCTATTAGCAAATTATTGTGGACACATGATCAATTCTCATACCATGGGTTTGAGGGATTACTTTTAATCAGTTTTAATATTTTCTTAGTTATTTATTTTATAAATATTGTGTTTATAGACGAATGCGTAAATTACGAATTTTACTTTGTCTTTCACGTTTTTTCATTATTATAATTTGGCTAGTTTCTATCCATCAGACGCCTGCTCAAAAAAGATTTTAAACATTGAAAATCATTCCCCTTTCATAAATACAATTTCTTTATGTTAACTAATTTCTTTTCATTAATTAATCATTCAAATATTTCCCGACAAACTCAATTTTTCAAATGTCAATTTCTTGCACATGAGCAATGCGTTTGTACATCCACTAGTAAGTATTTTCCATATTGGATTGTGCCTTCCTCAATATATCGAGTTTATTCTATTGAGTTTATTCTCCAAAAAAATCCCTCAAGCTTCTGCGTGAACATATTCTCTATAATGAAACCCCGTTAATTTTGAGTAACTAAAGCATCCACCATCGCCGTAAACTTGAATTTCACTATTAACCTGATCAATTCTTAATTTTGTGGTTAACAAATAATTAAGTGGATTATTGCAACCCACAAATTAAGGATGGAAAATATTGCTTGGGAGCAATTTTCTTTGCACCAAGCTCTAATTTTTCTTAATTTAACAATGGGTTCGGGATTATTCATGAAATGCATTCCTAGATTTTCGTAATTTCCTTCAATGACCCTCTCTCTCTCCCTAATGTTATGATTTAAGATCTTTCCATCATCATCTTTCCAAGTTTCGCTGCCTAATTTGTTCCCTCTCTTATGCCTGACGAGTGACGACAAAAGTTCTTTTCGATCAATGGCTTGACATGACATGGACGATATTCATAAAGCTTTATTGCTTGTGCTTCGTCCCAAGTTAGAACACCATAGTTGCCGTCACGTCTGTCGAGTGGATTGAAGTCGTTTTCCCTTCTTCAAAAGCAAGAATTAGCCTCTTATGGCGAAGCTTGATTGCATTATTGTATTTAAAAGATGTTCTGGATCGCAGAATTCAATTTTAGCACCTTATCATGATAGGACGGTATATCGTCTACAAAATGTCCATCAAAAACCAACCGTTACCTTTTCGGAACAAAGCATATGCCAAAGGGCCCATTGAATAGCCACTGATAACTGAAAAGAATTTAATTGGAGAGAAAAATCCACATGTACAAATAAAATTTGAAGCAGTTTATTCCTCAGTTAATGTGAAAAGTAGATGCTTTTAGAATATTGCATTGAAACTTGTGCCGTGTGTAGATATTAGGTTCTTTTGGAGTGAATTTTTCGATACTTTGAAAACAATTACAATTGTTGATATCCAAATAAATCGCACTGAGATTGAAGCGAGACTAACACAAAATTCAAACTGAATCAATAATATTACACTTGGAATATTACAAGAATTTTCTTTTTTATTTTCCAAAATAAAAAAGAAAATGACTAGTAAAATCATTTTATTACACTTGGAATAAAATGATTAAAAAATAAATCATTTTCTTTTCTTTTTTCTTGGATCCTAGGAATTTTATTTCATTATCATCAATTTTTCCCGGAACTTTTCTTCTGTTTTTTTGGTCCAAATAGAGATATCATTTCATTAAACCTGAGCTCACCTACAAGAGTAAGGGACATCAAAACACATGATTTCTCAAAGAGAATATAGGAGGTTAGAAATCCAATTTAGGGGGAAGGTCTTACACCTTGACACCTTTGCAACATAATTTGCTAGTCTATTTGAGTCATGGGTGTAGAGCACAAAATGTAGACTCTCAAAAAAAGCCAAGAGGCCAATACAATTGAGTCCTGGAGCTTTTCTTCACCTTGTGCAATTTGACCACATTTTCCACCTTTTCCTTACATTTCACCTTCTTTCGATAAATCATTTCTATCCGCCCGATCAAAATTTAATCAAACACGAACAGTTGATGATGGCGTTCACAATAATGATGTTGATCACTCCACGGACGGTGGAGATAGCAGGAGTCACAACGATAGTCGCGTCAAGCTTTTTCTTTTTTAATATCTATTTTTTATGTTGGTATTTTAATATCTAAATGGGTTAATACCACGAAAAATTCCAAACTAGTACACTTGTGACAATTATATCCCGAACTAATTTTTTAACCACAAAAAATCCTAAATTTGTACATCTGTGACAAATTTACCATGAACTATTTTTTTTACCATCAAAAACCCTACACTGGTACACTTGTGACAATTTTACCCGAACTAATTTTTAAACCACAAAAAATCCCAAACTAGTACACATATGACAATTTTACCTCAAATTAATTTTTTGACCACTAAAAGTCTCAAACTGGTACATTTGTGACAAATTTACCCTTCGTTAGTATCCGTTAAATTGAATTAATATCACGAAAAATCATAAATTGATAAAATTTTGACAAACAGAGGGGTAAAACCCCAAACTGGTACACCCATCAACTATCACGTGCCATTAAACTTAACAATTTGACGGTAAAATTTAACAGAAATTAACAGAGAGTAAATTTGTCACAGGTATACCAGTTTGGAGGTTTTTGGTTGTCAAAAAATTAGTTCGGGGAAAAATTGTTATAGGTGTACCAGTTTGGGGTTTTTTATGGTCAAAAAATTAGTTCGGGGTAAGATTGTTACATGTACATCAGTTTGAGATATTTTGTGGTCAAAAAAATAATTTGAAATAAATTTATTATAAATGTATCAATTTGAGATTTTTTGTGATATTAATTCTATCTAAATCTAAATGACGAGTAAAACGTGACAATTATTTCAAAACTGTCATCAACGTCAGCCTCTACGCAGGATGTGAAATCGCAATTTATTCATGGAAAACGCAGCTGATATCAAGATTGTCACGTTAGCAAAACGTACCGATTCTTTTCCCTCTAGAGATAATGCGACAAAATGGTTCTTGAATGAGTACCACGTTACTGTTCCTAGTCTCCGTCGTGAACTCGACTTTTTTATCCCACCATTACTTTCGGCCAAGCGAGCCCACAAGTCTCCTAAAGCGATAAGGCTCTCTCCATCGTCTCCTTTCTAGGGAAGCAAACTGACAAATTCAAGCTCATGAAGAAAGTG